CTGTAGAGCATCTTTATGATCACCCAGTTACGTTGTGACGTTTGATATCACACAAGGTATTCCTCCGGTATCCGGGAGTTGCATAATCTCATAGTCGAAGGAATATGTATTTGACATGAAGAAAACAATAGCAATAAACTGAACGATCATTATGCTAAGCTAACGGATGGGTCTTGTCCATCACATCATTCTCCTAATGATGTGATCCCGTTATCAAATGACAACTCATGTCTATGGTTAGGAAACCTTAACCATCTTTGATCAACGAGTTAGTCTAGTAGAGGCTTACTAGGGACACGATATTTGTTTATGTATTCACACATGTATTTAAGTTTCCACCCAATACAATTCTAGCATGAACAATAAACCTTTATCATGAATAGGAAATATAAAATAACAACTTTATTATTGCCTCTAGGGCATATTTCCTTCACTTACTAACGCTCGTAGTAACTTAAACAACAATTATTGGTTGTCAGTGATGTGGTTAACTGTCCCATGAGTCATACCCTAAACGGCTATGGAGATGTAGTCCCGAACACAAATGACATGAATGGCCCCACTCCCCCACGATGCCCACATGCGGACGGAGTCACTGTTTCGACCCTTTTGGCTTACTTAAGCACGATCTGACACCAGTTCCAAACCGTTTCACAATTTGAACTTTTCCTACACCCGTAGCCCTTGGCTTTAGGGTATAATACAACCTACCGCCACGGTCCTTGGCGATAGGGGTGAAGGCAGATGTAAACGGAGATGATTCCGTTGATTTAAACGCAGCCTACCATCATATCCATTGATTTAACCACAAAATGAGCAAAGCTAGGGTTTGCACAAAAGTGATCAATGCCACAAAAGTAGATGATTCCAACCAACCAAAATGAGGGGGAGCGGGGTGAGAGAGGTACCTTGAGTGATGAAAATGCACGGTTCCATTCACCGCACAAATCGGGAGGGCCTTAGGTGAGGGAGAGAGGGGGCTAAGCTCGGGGAATAAGAGAGTGTGGGGGTGAATGGGTGGGTGGGGCCCCACCCAAGCCCCTCACTAACTTAACCCATTGCACTACCCCACCACCAGGGTCGTTGGAGGTAGGGTGTCACTGCCTACCGACAGGGACCCCAATAGTAGCCACTTATCCACGTTAGCATGGGATACCGGTGTCGTTTGCGTCTGCCGTCACCCCTACCGCCGAGGACCGTGGCGGTAGGTTGTGTTACCTTACCATCAGGGACTACGATGGTAGGAGAAGGATCAAATCGCGAAACAGTTCGAAACCAATCATGCTTAAGGGCCAAAACAGTGATGTCGTCCCCCACACGCCTCGCCCGCTAGTGAAACTATGATTTGATAACTGACGGCAAGATCTGAAACTAACGACATAGGGAGCGTTCGGTTTTTCGCCAAAAACATGTGGTTCCCCAAATAACTTTTTCATAAGATTTTTTTTTCTGACTTTATAAACAAGAAACAACCGATGTAAATCGTCATGGAGAGAGTGCTCCACGTCAAAGATAGTCAACCAATACAAAATCGCCTCTTACCAGTTGCCAGCTGTAAGGCATTATACACTCCGCGGAAAATCCCACCTCGGTCTCTCCCCCTCCCACACAACCCTCTCTCTCTCTCCCTTCCCGCCCCTCGCCCCCTCCCACTGCATAAAGCAGCCTGAAGAGGCTTCCTTTGTAAGCCATCACGCATCCGTACGCACACCAAACCGCGATTCGCGACGAAGCCATAGACCCTAGCTCTAGGTTTAGCTCCCTGCCCAGAGGATGAGCGGCGGCGGCGGAAGATGGGGCGCCGCGGGAGGCGGCTACATCATCGGTGTTGTCGTCCGAAGCTTGATGGGGCGATGCGGCAAGTACACGGCCACCCCGTCTATGGGAAGCTTCTGGCCCAAGGGCAGACCAGGCAGCGGAGGCGGCGGGCTGGGCGATGGCAGCGCCATCTTCTTCCAGACCAAATGGCGCCCAAGCAGTAAGTCCAATCGGCGTGCTTCCTTGCTTCTTCCAACCCTTGGATTTGTCCAAAAAAAATCTGAGAAAAAGCCATGACTCCCTGTTCAACGTGTCGTCAAATTCCAGATCCAGAGATTGCGGCCCTGAAGCGTGTCCTGGCGTCTGTGGACCGTGCGTCTCGACATCAGAATCAGAAGGGCATGGAAGGATCTGGGCTACTGCAAGAGGCTGCTAACACCGGGGAAATGGAGGTACGAGTAGCCATTCGTATGAAATATTCCAGGTTGTTCGGTGGCTCAGTTTGATCCATGCTTGTTCGCTTGCATTCGATACCAATCTAGAATCTGTCTGCGTCTGGTACACTTAGGTGTGCATGTTATCTGATGCCTGATGACTCTGCTGTCTAATTTGATTTAAACATGTGCTATATACCATCATTTCATCTTTATAAAAACTCGTATTGCATTTAGAATTATATGCTTGGAGAAACTTTGACCTGTTAACATACATTTAGGCCCTGTTCGGCAGCTCTCCGCTCCACGGCTCAGCTCCTGGAGCGGCCGGAGCGGAGCGGCGCGGTAGCCTATTTTTCTGGAGTCATCAAAGTGGCGCTCCGCCGGCTCCCGTATTTTGAGGAGCTGGATGACTGCCGAAGAGGCTCTTAGTGGCAAAGAATTTAGCTACTAAATTTGAACAGCATGTCTGGACTCATTTGGTTCAATTCAAGCATTAATAAATATACTAGAAGTCATTCAGTTTTTTTAAAGTTAGTATAATGACTATTTGAGCAATGTTTCAAAAATATGTAGTGGTGAAAAATTGGAAATAGATAGATTCAGACGTTACTATTTGTGGAGATTTCTTTTCTTTTGCTCCCATACTAATTTAGTTTTCAACGTCAAATTGTGAAGGATACCTGTCAGTTGCACTTGAGCAGTTATCCAGAATTGCACCTAGCCAGTGGTTCACACTAGACATATCCCCTCTTTTTTGAAACCACCAGTTGTTCCAGTAGACCAATTCAACAATTTTATCTATTACTGCAATTTGCTCTCGATTCAAATTGACCACTCCCTTTATATTTATCTAATTCTGGAAGTACTTTCTGTTTTTTCATTTCAGATTGGTTTGACACCATCAGAGGTAACATCTGAATCAGAAGAATCAAGGCAGTTGCAGGTATTATAAATCATGTTCATTAAGTTTGCAGTTTGTCAGGACAAGATAAAAGAATATCTATTACAGTAACTGTATTTTCAGGCGAAGTTAATTTACAATTCTCTATGTGTCAATTTGTTGTAACTAGATGACCGAGGCTTGGCGTAAAAGAGGCACAGAGAAGAAAGTAGGCATAATTGACATCGTTCATGCCAGCCGTGGAGATCACTGTCAGGTCCTTCAATGTTCTTCTTTTTCGAGTTTTTGAACTGTTAACTTTATTTTTGTTTCTGGTTGTAAGCATGGAGCTTTCCACATTACTTGTGCCATCTTGCCAAGTTCAAATAATATATTTACTTTCAGGAAAAAAAATATTCCTCAAATAATATATTTACTTTCAGGAAAAAATATTCCTGTTGTAGGGTGAGTCTAGACAGTTTTCAGAAAACATAATTGTGCTGTTAAGCATCTCAAAATAACCCCCAGGATTCATACACATATAACATATTTTCCCTAAGTAGACAAATTGGTGTGCAACTTGTACCACTGCAGTTGAGGCTTGAGGGTTTTCCCAGCTATTGAAAGTTTAAGCCCTCTGAAATCTTTCTTGGTTGGTGCATTTGTGTGTTTTCAAATCTCCATTTGCACGTGCTGAGTTGCACCAACTGGTCACTTATTATTGTTGTTGCTAATTTTTTGTTGTTTGTTGCAAACATGGCATTTTGTATCTTTATACTTAGTAATTAGAGACTTCCCTAAAGCCTTTTTCTTCTGTTATAGATTACAGATTAGATGCGGGTTGCTTACATTTCTTAAACTTTTATTTTATGTTTCTTCCTTACAGGGAACTGTTAATAATGAGACACTTGGTTACTTAGTTGGAAGGGTCTATCCTTTCCAAACACGTCTGGGAATTGATAAGGGCCGATTGCCCTTCAGGAAACATCTATTTAATGAGATGGCTCACTGTGCTGCTAACTGTTGGAACCCAGAGACTGAGTCTTCTTATGGATGGGTAGAGTCTGTGGGCATTCCAGACAGATCTGCATATGATTTAAAATCTCACTTTGTAAGCTTGACACATCCCACGAATTATTTCGCAGTTAGTAATTTTAGTCCTTTGGACAAGTTGCAATTGAAATTCAAAGTTGCTCACTTCATGCATTATTATATTTAGTCTCCACTGTGTTTTTGAGGGTGTAACTTCCTGACTGCTATTTCATAGGACAAAAGTGGCCTTCCACTTGTAGCCCATGAGAAGTTTTCAAAGCCTATAGAAGTCGAGGTGAGTTATTTATCGGATTTGGTTCTTCGGTATTTTTAAGGAGTCATTACAATGTATTATTGGATAATGGGTGATACCAGTTATGTTTTATTTTTGCTTTTGAAGTATATTACAATTTTTATTATCAACACCATTCTTTGATGTAGATAGTATTTGTCCTTTACTTTAACCCATAATCAATTAGGGCTGGCATTTATATGTCTGAACCACTTGTTTCTAAGCAGATTACAAAGCAGTGTGTTTCTCCAGTGCTGAACGTGGAAATAAATTTCTTCAGTGTGTTTCATTAGCATATGAAATCCATTTACATGATAGATTGTTTAAATAATGTTTCTAAGCAGATTACAAATCAGTCATTTGTTTACACCCAAGAGCATCCATGTGTACGATCATTGCTGTGGTTCTGTTATCTTTTGCCTGGTATTATTGTCTTGGCTCTGCATTCATTTATATATGATGTTTACAGGAGTTTCAGGCTTATTCAACTGTCGGTGTTGCTGATTATACTTCTCTTGAGGTTCTATTGAAGAAAGGATGTCCAATGGAATGTGACTGGTTAGTTTTTTTGTTTCTACTAACTCATATAATGCATAGCTAAATGATATTTCTTTTTCTCATATTTACATTTTATAGGTGGTCACATGGAGCTATTATGTATGAGATGCTTGTGGGTTATGCACCATTTTATTCCGAAGATCCAATGTCAATGTGTAGGAAGGTAAATTTGAATACTGTCTTTACATCAATTATAGCTAAGCCATGTGCTTGCATGATTTGTGATTTTGTATGTGGATTCTTGTTACCACTAAGGTGAGCCTAATTGTGCAGATAGTAAATGGGAGAAGCCATCTTAAATTTTCTGAAGAGGCCAGACTTTCATCAGAAGCTAAAGATCTAATCAATAAGCTATTATGTAATGTGAATCAGATATTTGTAATGAACAGATCACATATGATAAAGGTAAAAATCATTCAGATTATCTGTTTTGTTTTTGAGTTTTGAATTTGTGGTCATCCATGATCCTTCCTACAGGCTTATCCATGGTTTAGAAGCGTTGAATTGGAAAAGCTATATCAGATGGAAGCAGCTTTCATACCCGAAGTTATTGATGAATTGGACACACAAAACTTCAAGAATTTTGAGGAGGTGAGTTATTATTCCCATGCTGCTTAGGCTAGTGTATAGTCCTCAAGTAGTTACCCCAATATACGGCACAGTGTATGGGAGATACCTATAAACCATATTTCCTATAAATAAAAACTTCAAAAAAGGCTATTGGCACGAAAAACCGAGATCTACTTATCTGGAAAAAAAATACCCACAAGCCAGAGCTTCTAGTTGGAGATTGCTACTCGTCACCGAACAGATCAACAGGTTATGCTGATTCAGGCCCGCTCTTGATTTCAATGGAGGCTTGGTAATACAGAGCGGCGGCGGCCAGGAGGGAGGGAAAGAGGATGTGATAGTAGGAAAGGATCGCGCTAGTTGGGCTTGATTAGTGGAGGTGTTGGGCTGAACGCCGAGAGTAAGGGAGGAGGTGACGATGGTTGGCTGAATGCCGAGAGGAAGGGAGGAGGTGATGATGGTGGAAGAGGGCCGACGTTGTCTGGCTTTAGCCCAAAGGAATATGTGTCATCCGGTGAAGCAGCATAGAGAGATAGAGGATTTATGGTGTGTGAAATTGGAATGACTTGGTAGTCAGCTTCAATTTTAGTTATTCGCCAAAGAAAAGCTTAAATTTGAGTTGGAAACTATATGCTATATAGATTACTGCATTATCTGACAATGTGAAAATATTATTTTTTACACAAACTTCAAATTATTTAGAAGCATGCATATTGTTTTCTTTTCATGAATTCCTTTTTAGTGAACTTCTGGCTTTATTGATCGCATAACATTAACACAGTTCTTACATGGTGCTGGAATAGCATAGTCTAGAGCAACATCACTCCAACAAACAAAAGAACCAGAATATTACTACCGGCTTTGGCGAACACATGAACCCTCTCATTAGTATAACGATGGGCCGTTATTACTGCATTATTTGATAGGGAACTGAGCTCGTGGCATCTGACTAAACCTGCAGGTGTTAATCATACTGGGATCTTTTCAGGAATTAGTCTAAAGAAACTGTCCTATCTATTTGCAGCGAAACATGTTATGCTTCCTGTTTAGCTTATATTGCGAAGAAAATGTATTGTGAGATGCTCGAAAGTGAGTATTGACAGTTATGCATTTGTCATTTCAGACCGCCCTTCCCATGCTAAATTGGACTGCTGAAGATATAATGGCCTATGCGAAATCAGGACACAGGAAAAAAAAGGCAGGAGCTAAGTTCTAAGATCTCAGTGTAATTTCACAGGTTAATTATGTAGCATAAATAGTACAAGTTTAATCTTGCATTTTTTTTCTCAACTTGTTACTTGCAAACGTTATTAAGAAATTCCCTAAAATGTCATTTTATTGTAACACTTTGCCGTCGAGTATTGATTTACAGTTCTTAAATTAGACACTTCATATTTGCTAAAGTCTACCTGTTTTATATACACAGAATAAACTAAGGGATAAAGATGATAAAGTAATAAGGTTGAGAAAAACCAAGGAAAATAATGTCAGATCATCATCTGGTGGTGGGGGGAGCAGCTCTGGCAATACTGCTCTTGTATGTTTAGACTTTAGATGCAGATGATGAAAGTAGCTTGGAAAGTTACAGAGAAGGAATCCGACGTCTTCGCGCATGGTGCCGGGACAACGGCACATGTGTGGATATTTCCAGCCTGTGTGGAGAGGGGCATGAGATCTTCACAACCCCTGGGAATGGAACTTTCTACATGACGCTTCAGTACAGAGGTCGTACAATTACTCTGAACATTTATGGCAATAATTTATATCTTGTTGGCTGGACGGGTGGACTAGGGGGTGGATTTGAGTTGATGTCGGGTGCTGATAGCTGTATGGCTCCACAAGGGCAAAAAATATTGAAGTTTGGAGGCAATTATTGCCGGCTATATCCACCGGGATACGAGAGTACGAGCCTGGGGCTTGGTGCACTGAGACACTCTTGTATAAATCAGACGGTGGTGGTTCTTACAGTTTGAGGAAGGCAATAACAATCATGTGTACTCATTTCCCAGAGGCTGCACGCCTGCAATGTGTGTTAAAGTCAATATGCGATTCATTTTTAGCTGCTCATTTGGTTCCGATTGGGTGTTTTCCTGACAACATCTTTTGGATTGGAAATTATGGACATTATGCTCGAGTTAGTATGGAGTATGTGGCCCAGGTGCTATCAGGAGCAGTACCTGAGCCGATAGTGAACCGTGATGGTGCTAAGTTTACTACAATCGATGAACTTTTGAAAGAGGTACGAGTATGCAACCGACATGGCTGCAAAGATGGTGTATTTGTGCATCAAGCTCCCGATGATTCTCCAGCAAGTGCCACTATAGGAGGGTCTGCTCCCCGCCCACCCCCCAATGATTTGTTAGATGATTTCTGAGTAGAAGAAGAGAGAAGATTGGTTCTGACGTCGGTTTGATGGCTAGGGATGTCAGACTTAAGCCTAACGCTACTTGCCTGGTCATGACGACAGAAATCCTGAGGGTGATGCTTTGTAGTGTTCTAAGGTGATCAAAGTTAGTTGGGTTATATTTGATGATATCCACTGCATGAAAGATCATGAGAGAGGAGTTGTGTGGGAAGAGAGCTTATCTTTTTCTTTCTGTTACCATGTCAAAATGCAACTGAGTGCTGAGTGGATATGTAATCTGCACAAGCAGCCTTGTCAGTGGTGTACACAAACTTCAGGTCCACAATGTTGCAGCACTATGTGTTCCCAATGTTGCAGCATTATAAGCGACAGATTTTTTTGAAAATTTGAACCCGATTTTACTTTTGACAAAAGTACATGTTTTTCAGAATTTATAAATGCGAACATTTTCGGAATTTATGAAATTCATTATTCTCTAAAAGTATCAAACAAAAATTACAATTATTATTTTTTTGAAATTTCTGAACCAAATTCGAAAACAGGAACATTTTTCAAAAAATGAATAAAAGCTTGAAAAAAAGAAAATAAAAGTGAACAGGAAGAATTTTGAAACAACTTTTGCACGCGAACACGAATAACTTTTGCACGCGAACAAATTTGAATTTCCCAAACATTTTTTAAAAACATGAAAGTTTAGGAATTTGTGAACAATTTTAAAAGCACAAACATTTTTTGAATCTTAAGAACAAATTTTGAAATGGAGAACATTTTTCGAAGGGTGAACAAAACTTTAAAGCACAAATATTTTTTGAATTTTAAGGACAAATTTTGAAACGGAAAACAATTTTAAAAATTCCCAAACAAGTTTGGAAGCGTGATTTTTTTGGAATACGAGAACAAAAAAATTGAAATCCGGTACATTTTATGAATTTCAAAAGTTTTGAACATTTTTGTGTAATGAGAACATTTTTTGAATTTTACGAACATTTTTTCGAAACTGATCATTTTTTGAAAACATGAACGTTTTGGAATTTGTGAACAAGCATTTTAAGCACAAATATTTTTTTGAATCTTGAGAACAAATTTTGAAACGAAGAACAAACTTCGAAGCACGAACGAAATTTTAAAGCACGAACATTTTTTGGATCTTGAGAACAAATTTTGAATTGGAGAACAATTTTGAAAAATTCCTACAAATTTGGAAGTGTGAGTTTTTTGAATATGTGAACAAAAAATTAAAATCCGGTACAAAAGTTTTGAACTTTTTTGTGTAATGAGAATTTTTTTTGAATTTGGCAAAAAAAATCGGAAGCTGAACATTTTTTTGGAAACATGAACAAACTTGAATTTTTTGAATTTTTTTTAAAAAGATAAGAAATGAAAAACCAAAGAAAGAAAATTTGTTGAAAAGAGAAATTAACTTGAAAAGGAAAACTCAAAGAAGAAATAGAAACAAAAAAGGAAAAGGATAACATAAACAAAAAAAAAAGAAAAAAACCCATAAAAAACGAAAAAACCGGTTCAGGGAACCTTCTAGAAGGTTCCCAAAACCGGTGGTAACCGCAACTGGGCCAGCCCAAATTGTCCCCGGGGGGAGGGGGGTGCGGAGCCTGGTCAATTCGCCCATAATGCGGCGAATAGGGGTTTTCCCCCGTATCTACCCCATATTTCAGCTGGATATAAGGGGTGCCGGTCAGCCCGGGTTTTTGAGGCCCGTTTGAGGCGCTTATCTGGATCGAGATTTTGTGACCGGTCGACCAGTGACCGGGCCTTCCGCACGGCCATATAGGACATGTTTGGGGCGTCGGGTTGTAGATGTTCTTACCGCTACAGTGAAATACTAGTCGATTTACAGGGTATGTAGGAAAATTCGTTTCTGAGCTCAGGCTCAGATGATCCTGAAATATACACCAATGATTCACATAAAGATCCGCGCCCCCGACTGTATTCTATTGCAGTATTTCTCTTTTCCCACTGAGACGTTGGAGGGCAATAATTGCGACGACGCGTCACGGTGGAGAGGCGGAACAGGTTGTGTCCCCACGGCTCGTCCTCTTATCTGAACCGCCTGAGCCGGTGGGAGCGGACGGCCTCCAAACGGCACGAAGACAAGCTGGCTTTAAATGCACCCACATGCCTTCTACTCTTCCTCATCCAGTCGCATCCAACCCAAGAAATCCCCATGTCCTCTCGTCTTCCACACCTAGCGACACGTCGGCCGCCCTTTGTGCACGGCGGAGGTAGCCGGGCATCGCTTCTACAAGTGCTCCCCGAAACCTTCTGCGCCGTAGTCTTGCCCATCTCCTTCGCCCACTTCCTGCTTCAGTACAACGGACCTGCAGATTGCTAGCTGGACCATCTCTCCCTGCTAATGGATTCATCGTTTCTCGTCAGAAAAGCAAAATGCCTGATGCTAGTAGAACACAAAAGAGAAAAGTGCCAGCTGAAGTTCAGACCGTACCACAGCTACTCCGTCACCTCTATCAGCCGGCAGATGTGGTTCACTCCAAGTGCTCGAAGCTGTCCCAAGGGATGAAGAACGGGATTGCTGCAACAATCAGAGGATTTAGGATTTCTATATTGCAAGGTTGAGCAGCAAAAAATAGGTACAATAGCAGAAATTGGTAACCTCAACTTGCTGATTGCCGTCTGAGCGACTACCTCCCGACCTCCTCGTTGTTCC